TCAGTAGCCCAGAGGGTGTAGTGCAGCAGGTCTCAGTGGGGTCTGAGCTCCATCGGTGTACCACTTTCCCACTTCCACAGATCGGTGTACCACTTTCCCACTTCCACAGATCGGTGTACCACTTTCCCACTTCCACAGATCGGTGTACCACTTTCCCATTTCCACAGATCAGTGTACCACTTTCCCACTTCCACAGATCGGTGTACCACTTTCCCACTTCCACAGATCGGTGTACCACTTTCCCACTTCCACAGGAGCCACCAGCAGCAACACAAGCCAGGCCCAGTGGACAGTGTCAATGAAGGAAATGGAAAGACTGACAAGTAATTTGTACAGAAGTGTAGGACTTTGTTATATTTTCTGTAAAAACAAAACAGCAAACGTGTTTCTCTCTGGGAACTAATGTGTGGAAGTTTATTCAGAAAGGCAGTGAGCTGTGCTCATACCACTACCTCCAGGACACAATTACTTTGCTATTAAAATTCCAAATATGTCTCTGATCAGCCCCCGCCCCCCTGCTGTGATCTTTGATGGTGGGCAATGAGTCCTGTGAATTAACAGAGCACAAACTCCATAGAATAGGAAATCCATTTTTGGAGTAGTCTAGTGGTGTTATCTAACGGTGTAGTAAATCCTCAAGTGGTTTATACCAGAGGCTTAAAAAGACATTGTGATTCGAGAAGGCTTTATTTCAGTGTCTGGACAGAACTCGTGCTGGGCTGTGTCAGAGGGAATTTAGGTCAGTAAATGACTGAGGGTTTTGAAAATGTGTGAAGCACATGTTCAAGTGCTTTGGTTTCTCTTGCCACTTGTGTTTCAGGAGATTCCAGCAGCATTGTGTCTGCAGTTTGCTACACGGTCCCGAAGTCAGCTATGGGAAGCAGCCTCTATGCTCTAGAATCAGGCTCTGATTTTAAATCTAGAGGGAGGTCTGCTGAGAGCCGGGTGATATTTGGGCCTGGTGTCACCATGTCAACCTGTGATGTCATGCTCATTGATGACAGTGAGTATGAAGAGGAGGAAGAGTTTGAGATTGCGCTGGCAGATGCTTCTGACAATGCTCGCATCGGAAGAGGGGCCTTGGCCAAGGTGCTCATCAGTGGCCCCAATGATGCCTCCACAGTATCCCTGGGCAACACAGCATTCACTGTCAGCGAGGATGCAGGTAATGGATTACATCTCTGGAGACCCATCACCATCTCCTGCTCCTATTCTTGAACCATTTTTGCTGGGATTTGACAATGACTTCAGGACAATGAGAATGTTGTCCCTCAGTGATACTGCCTTAGAACCAAGAATGAAAGGTGTGAGGTAGAGAGGGATTTCGTTTTTCTGATCTAATCTTGATAGCAGAGTGCTTGCTGATGAGGCTCTGAGGTACTGAGCATTTTGGTTTGTAAGGAAGGCGAATTTGCATTATTGAGGATGAAGGTTTGTTGTTCAGGGTACTGATAGCTGCTGCAACAAACCCGAGTGTCAGTGTCTTAGCTCAATGGAGATTTCATACACACACACACACACACACACACACACACACATGCGTGTACATATACATGTATATGCACATATATATATAAAACAGACCAAAGCAGTTCATGTGTACAATTCTGCCATACAGTATTTCAGAGACCCAGACACCTTACCAATTGTGACTCCATCATCTGCAGAGGTCTGAGAGCCCTCTGCCCCAGAATTGTCAGCACTTGTGTGTGCTGAGTATCTGCACGTCTTGAGACAGAGCAAGGTCATTCGCCTCTTTTTTTTCCCAACCGTTTTATCGGCACTTAATCCACTTACCATGGAATTCAACAGTTCAATCACATCAAAAAGAGTTGTACAATCATGACCACAATCAATTGTAGAACATCCCCCCACAGTTAAATCACTTTAAAAAGTGGTGAGTTGTGTAATCACCATCAGTTCTAGAGAGTGCCCCCTCCCCGCTCCCACATGCACTGTCTGTTCCCCCAGCCCCCTCACCCTCCCTGTCGCCCACCCCGCACCCTATCTTTTACCTCTTTAATGGAGTAATGAGACATTTTCAGAACTAATATTTTTGTGTACTTACTTGTATATTGGACACCATGCCATGCCATTCCATGCATTCTTATGTAATCTCTGGAGGAGATAGCATTACATCGAAAAGCAAATGGAGGTTGAGAAAGTGAAATAAATCAACAGAATTGAAACAACCCATTCAATGGGATGGGGATCTAGAGCTTTCTATTGTTTGGCGCCATTGAGTTGCTTCAGACTCAGCATCACCTGTGTGCAATAGACCCAAACCCTGCCTGGCTGTGCACCATCCCCACAGTCATCACTGTGCACAGGCCCACTCTTGCAGCCACTGGTCAATCCCTCTTATTGAGGGTGGGGCTGCCTCTTTTTTGTTGACACTGTTTTACCAGGCATGAGATCTTTTCTCCTCTTCTCCATCTCTCACACACCAAATCCCTAGCTGGGACTGCATATCACCTCCTAGTATATTCGCTAAAGAGAGGTGATGGTTGGTGGTCCTTTTCGTGACTTGATGGTGAAAATCTACATGTGTACCTTGAGGACACTGTACAGTCTGCTGTCACAGTACACTAGACGATGGGCTTCATTCCTGAGACAAGCAATAAGCACATATGGGTTAAGTAACGATGTGTGCACCACTTGGATAAAATAGGGAAATCAACCCAGTTAGGAACATTTAATTAGGAACATTCAGCTTCATGCCTCTTGGAGTCCCCTAGCTGGTTCCTTCTTAATTGACTATTTTCTTGCTCATCCCTAAGGCTCTCCTCTTAGACTTCCTTCTCTCTGAATAGATTTGAGATGTTTTTCAACAAATCTCCTTCCCAAGTTCATTGTTCTTACACCGATACAATTTCCGATATGAAGCCACAAAACCATTTCACCATACAGCCTTCTCTCCGGTACTACCCCCGGAGACCCTTCCCTAGGCCTGCTCTTGATCTTAGTGTCCACAGAGTGAGGGGTAGGGACACCTCCCAGTCCTCCTCAGAGAAGGACGAGGAGTGCTGGGTTAGAACTGTGACTGCTGCTATGAGGGAGAACATGATATTCTGACTCAAGGTTGACCACTGGGGTCTCTATGCATGTCAATCCAGGCACCGTGAAGATTCCAGTTATCCGGCATGGCACTGACCTGTCAACCTTCACATCTGTCTGGTGTGCCACACGGCCCTCGGACCCAGCTTCCGCCACTCCAGGAGTTGACTATGTCCCCAGCTCTAGGAAAGTAGAATTTGGGCCTGGTGACACTGAGCAGGTGAGTACACAACATCAAGGGTCTGTGACGTCTTAAGGGTGGGAAGGTATGTTACTGTTGTCTTTAGTCTCCCTCCAAACTCTTTTCAGGACTCTAAATGCCACCTACAGCATTACCATCTTCCTTTTCTTGAAAGATATAAGGGGATGTTCTACAAGCTCCCCAAGTGACATTTTGGGCATCAAATACCTTGTACTATCACTTTAGGGTAGAAATTGCACTTGGCTGGCATAAGGACCTAGACACTCCTGGAGGGGCTGGGACAACAGCGAGGTGATTGTTCTCTGCCGTCAGGGACCTTGCTGTAAGATCCCCCGGAAGGCCATTTTGTCACCTTTATCACTACCCCACGGCAAAGGAATGTTGGCACCTCTGTGAAGTTTGCTCTGATTTTTCTTCCAGCATTGCACTTTAGCCATCTTGGACGATGCTCAGTATCCAGTAATTGAAGGACTGGAGACATTTGTGGTTTTCCTCAGCTCCGCACAAGGGGCCGAACTGACCAAACCCTTCCAAGCCGTCATTGCAATTAATGACACCTTCCAGGATGGTAAGAAATTGGGG